TAGTATGGGGTTCCGTATTATGTGGTTTATCTGCCGCTTCTTTGGTTTTCTAACGACCAATATCTCTGTAAAGTTATTCTCGATTATTCGTTCGACCCCACTTCTAGTGTTGTATCCATTGTTGTCCACTATGTCTTATCTCAGACAAAATGGACTTGGATAGGGTTTTGCGGATGGGTGTTAGATTAGTGCAGGATCTACCGGGCAGTCGTATCTCGAACGTTTGCTTTCTTTGAGGATATGCTCAATATCCTACCGGAGAATTTGAGACGTTAGGATCACAGGCCTGCCTTGCAGTCCTGATGTCACGGCTTCGAGCCTGCGTAGGGGCCCGGGTGACACTCGCAGTCTCATTACACAGCGCGCGATGTGGTGGTTGCGCGGCAGCGAAGCGTCGATAGTACATACAGGCATACTGCTGATGCCTTTTGTTCAACTTGGTTACTAGGCATCGACTTGGCTGCTCCTCTTCATGATCACTTTTTGAGCCTCGGCATCACAGGTTAAAGATCAGTCGTTCATTTTGGATACCCTAGAAATTAACCGGTTTACTGTTCTCTTTTTTACATACTTGTTTCCCCTTAGCAGACTTTTGCATAAGCTCGCAAGTAAGACAGCTGTGCTCAACGCTAATAGCTCTTCAGGGAATAAAGGCTTGTCTGGCCGCACCGTTAATCTATAGTGGCTATTAGGTGAGGAATTATGTAAAAACCATGTAAAAAACCATTTGTCCCTTTGCATCACCAACTTCTACGATTATTATTTACACCCGGACCTAGCAGGAATGTCCATTTTTCACTTGTCCCCACTGCTTTACTCGTTTCTCTTAGCTCCGTACTTTTCTCTATTCCATCTGTGTACTGCTGCTTTTTAGCTTCGTAAATGCTTTCTCCGGAAGCTCTCGAAAGCACTTCTGATCCTGGGGTTGTTTACCTTTCTTCCATCCCAACCGGCATGAATGTGGCCTTGGTGTCAGATGTTATGAGCCAATTTGGCACAATGGGACGCATCTATCTGGTTCCGAAATCTACAAAACCCAAGAAGTTTCGTCAGTACGAAGAAGGCTGGGTTGAATTTATTGACCATAAATGCGCTAAACGTGCGGCAAAACGTCTTAATTGCACCGAAGTGGCCGGGTCAAAAGTGAGTTTACCTCGGACCTGTGACACCGTTCATTGACATTCATGTTTGCTTCTATTACCTAGCATTACGCGACCAGTGATCTGCAAGGGTTCCATTTTTGCGTCTAACTGTTGTTCTTTTGGTTTTGTCCACACACAGAGTTCTCCGTCAGCACCTGATGATGTCTGCCATGTTCATTGCTTTGCGGAAACGAACAAGCCTCAGAATAAATAGGCGAAGTCTAGAGGCTGTTTTACCGCAGTTTTTAAAAATTGTGTTTAAAGAACTACCCCTGATATGCGCCCTATTTATGTTTAACAAATTATCCCGCTGTTATCTTGATGGCATTGAATTGTAAACATTTGATAATGTCGGAAAGGACGTGTCTCCTGCAACCAAGCTTACCTATTATTATTATTATTATTATTATTATTATTATTATTATTATTATGGTATGTTCATTGCGCTCGTTCATCATGTGGAACCGCCCGTATGCTACTAAGCTTCGAAGCTCCACCGCAACTACTACGCAACAGCTGATAGCACGATCCCTCCATATTGCTTCGGCCTATGCTCCCACCAGCTGTGCCTCCGACTGTCTAATATGTATTCTACATGCTAATCTCCTCCTTATTTCCACTGGTCATAAGTAGTGGTACCGGCTGGCACCCGAGGGGTTTAGACGTCCGGCTTGTACTCCACCAGTCATCGGTTCTAGCCCGCTCAGTATCTCTACCCACACGCAACTGGTAGTGGCAGAAAGACGTCGGTACTGCGAATGCTTTATCTTACATGAGAATCCTAGCCTTGTAGCACGTGTTCATGGTGTTCATCGGACAGCAGACTACTCTGGATCCAACTTAACTAGGTCACCTACTAACATAGATAGCGTAGGCCAATCTTGTCGTTCTAGAACACTTGCCAACATTCTAACTATGTTTACTACAAGCCAGTATAATGTTTACTTTCTCGGCGTTGACGAAGTTTACTAATTCATTCCGCGAAGTAGTAATACCGATAAAAGCGGCAGGTTCAACTATCAATTGCGATCGAGGTCGTGGAATCTAATGGTACTTGGAACCAACCCCATTGCTTTGTGAACACGCTTTACAGCGCCTCTTGTCTTCCAGACTCCACACATCTAACTAGCAAATCGGCTTATAGGGTTTCGGTACGTCCACCTAAAACGTGGAAGATGATTCCATCGTACAGTCAGTTCCGCGTAACTCTTATGACTGCGACGTAATCGAAATCCAAAGCACGGATCACAGTTGATCAGTTAGACCTAATACTAACATAACACACACACGACTCTGTTAGACTGATATTCCTTATATGGATATCACCGTGCTACTTGTTTACAGTGACACGATGACGTTTTATACTTTCCTTTGCGCGCTGGCGGTTTTCCACGATGAGATCGTAATTTCTTATTGATGGCGATTCTCTACCGCTGCAACCGTGTTTGCGGGTGGATAATGTCGCAATATTCGGTCCTTTATGAATAACTGATGTTTTTCTGCAAAGGTAATTGGACGAAAATAACTGAAATTTTGTACCGCAGGTCGCTTCAATCCACTGTTCGGCTGTTTCCATTGGTATTACTGCTGTGCAGCGTCGTGCTTTCTGATAGTAACCAATACCTTAGGATCCCGCCACGTGAGATGCCGACCCGTAGCCGTAAGAATCATAACACAACGGATACATGTCCAAGAGCGACGAGTGATGCAGCTATACAGAACAAGCTCTACTCGCTGCTTCGATGCAGTAATCGCCTGATAATCCTAGGGCGCTGGTTCGAGCATACGTGCGAACCGGACTATTCTCGCAGTGTCCTTAGCCAGCTTGCGACTGGTGATGCTTGCGTGGCAGCGAAGCGTCCGTGCTGCGTAACGGCTGCTGCTGATGGCCTGCCACCTTGATTAGCTGATGTTTTGGAAATCCACACTATTTTTCCACCCCACACAGTAGTTTCTCTGATGAACTGCTCATAGATAACACGGTTGCCTGTGTAAATAAACTGACTGCTTACTTCTTCTAGTTTTTCGGTAATTTCGAGAACTGCATACCGGCCCAGCGCTGTAACAGTATCTTGCAATCTGGGATGATGAAGCGTGTTCTGGAGTTGGCGGCGGCTATCCTTGCATATCAGTTTGGTCCGCTTTTAAGAGCTACGTACTCTAACTGATAACCAGTTACCTAACAGAACTTCTACTGCAAGTGAAGCGATTTCGATTAAATCAGCTATCTATTCTTTGCGTTGCCATCTTATTCATGGGAGACTGTCTTTTACCCACTCGTCCGATAAGTTGTAACATCACTAGTGTTCTCACTAACATTGGGCTCCATCTCATGTGAAATCGTCATCTACCGACTTTCCGGAGACTCTTATATCTCATTTCATCTTCTAAACACTGAAATAAAATCTCTACCGGGATCATCTTTTATGCCTTGCTCGATGTAATAAAACCATCATATCCACTGCTGGAACATCACAGTCTTGGGGATATTGAAGGTGGTTCCGAACAGCATTCACCTCCCCCTTACAGTTGCTGTCACATATCTGGTTTCTATCCACAGTTTTGCGTATTATGGATACGTCAAGTTCCGAAAGATAAACAAAACACGAAGCTTTAAGCATACAATTGTTTTCGATTAATTCTTCATCAGGCTCATACAGTAATATACAAGAAGCGCTTCTCGAAAATGGATATCCGGAGCGATTTATCGAGACCCATATGAGGCGATGCGTACCAAAAGTATCAAAACAAACCGTTGAAAATAAACAGCTTTACTTGACACTTCCATTCAAAGGAAATAGTGCGGCTGAGACATGCACACGTCGACTACAGCAAGGCTGCAAAAAGACCTTTAATGCGGCTCAGCTAAATGTGACTTTCACCAGCAGACCTTTACTAGTTCCGAGATTCAAAGACCGAGTGCCTGATCATCTCCAGTCGATGTTAATCTACCGGTTCACCTGCCCGTGCGGGGCCAGGTACATTGAACGGACGACCAGGCATCTAGGTAAGAGAATTAAGGAACACTTCCCAGGTTGGCTCTACAAGCGCGAGAATAGGACAAGCTGCAGTGCGATTGCAAACCATCTAATAAACACAGGCCACCAAGTAGACAAACAAACATCCTTTCAAATTCTTTACAAAATACCATTAAGATAAAACGATCGTCTAAGAGCAAGCATACTCGCCTAACAAATCCGGACTTGTGTGTTCAAAAGAAGCTAATACAAACACTGCAACTTCCCTGGCCGAACACCAGCCACCAAGGAAGTAATGGTACTCCACAAATTCACCTGACCTCAGTCACGTGATCAGATGAAGGCCATCACGATCACAAGTTAAATTGTCTAATCAATTGTTTCTTGGTTACACTAACCATTGCAGCAGACGTTAACATAATGTATATTACTGTATGAGTCTGATGAAGAATAATGGAAAACAACTGTTTGCTTAAAGCTTCGTGCTTTGTTTATCTTTCGGATCTTGACGTAACAAATGGGCATTCTACTTGGGTTATTATGGATACCTTTGATGATCTAATCGTCTTGAAGTTAAGCATTATGCTGAGGCCGGAGGAAAGCGTTATGCTCATGCACGCACAACGATAGGATTAATATAAAAAGTGCGTATTTGGGCCCAGTCACAATCTTGCAGTGGCGTACACGATCTATGGCGGATAACTAAGTGCTCAAGTTGAGTTTGTAGTAGCCTGTCGTCTGCTGTGGCCATGTCATTTTTTGTAATCACTCATGCTAAAGAACCTCGCTACAGATAAAGGGGGTCGCTATTGTCAGTTCAACAAACATCGATTCTAGAACAACCGCATAGGGGATAGTACTGCTCAGAGCAATTAATACACATTTCAACTTCACTAGATACTAAGCTTAACACCATTGTGCTCTGGTCATAATTGCTGGGCTGGACACTCAATTAATCGAGAGTCTCTTTTAATCCAATGACTAGCGGTCGCGCTACTTGCTCACTCCAGGTCAGTCGGTAGTTGAAAGAATTACACGCCTGCTTTTTATACCGCATGCCACCGGTTCGACCGCGTAGGTGCGGTATACCCAGCTCATTCGCGACCGGTGATGATTGCGTGGTAGCGGCGCGTTAGCACGCTGTGCTGGCGTACTGATGATTCTTTCCTTTTCTTGAGTCGCTCTTTCACAGGTCCTATCCATTGATATTAGTGTTCCGTAACCACTTATTTAGCAACACAAAATCTCGCGACGCTTCCGACGCTTCGACCCATTTGTGGCGTAAGACGCTACAATCTATCAATGGTTGAGTAGCAAATCAGCTCATGATCACTCAAGCTCCCAAATATATCACAAAGCACAAAAACAGAGTAGCCTTTATTCATCCCACTTGGTTGTGTTTGATTCCCGCGAACCGAAAAGATTTTCAATCCTCCGGCGAGATTTGCAGAGCCACAACTAGACTTGAGCAAGTGTATCAGTGGTACTTTCGGGATTAAGAGAGAAGTGTGAATGATTTAAGCATCTGTTCAGATGCCTGCTGATGGCTAAAGTCAAACCTTCTGCACCATTTACCAGAGCAAAAATTATCCTGACCGTTGGCGCGCTATTCGTGGGTTTCTTTGCTCGGCGTCTTTCCCATGTGTGGCCACATACAACGGGTTACTTTGAACTTTCCCAACGGTAAGCCGGCCCGTGGCCGTAAGAATCACACGCCTGCCCTGTAATCCGAGGTCGCGGGTTCGAGCCGGCGAAGGTACTGGGCGATTCTCGCAGTGGCCTTAGCGCACGTGAGACTGGTGGAGGTTGCGCGGCATTGAAGCGTCGGTACTGTTGTACCGGCGTACTGCTTCTGCTTGATGAAACTATTGACGTACTTTCTCATGGACTTTCACCATTTTGCAACATTTGCTAAATGCTATGGAGCTTGTATGTATTTCACTTTTCTACATCGTATTTATGATTGTTGCAATGCCGCTGATGATCCATTTGTTCAGCTGATACATGATTCTGAACCCAGTCGCAATAGTGCGAGCAGGTTCGCTCAGTTGGGCTAAGCTCACTGTGTGCTCAACGGAAGTATCGACCGATTATTGGATTTTGTTCTTTCCAGTTCAGCATATTTGATGAGTGAAGTGCGGTTGCTCAGTTGACTTGACTCGCGTTGTCATGATAATGGGATTTTACAACTGCAAGCAAGGGAATTGATCTGGCATTCTCGCGAAATTATTTTTAGACATTAGATCCACAGTTATGTGGGCTAACAACTGAGACTAGCTGGCTGAGTTCAGATGCGCAATATACTGGGCTATATCGGATGAAACGTTAGCCGCTACAATAACCATAACCTTAAAGATCACAAGCCTGTCTTGTAATCCGAGCTCGCTGATTCGAGCCAGTGTAGGGGAAAAGGCGACCCACGCGCGACTGGCGGTGGTTGCGCGGCAGCGAAACGTCGGTAATGATGCCGATGCCTCTGCTTCAATAACCGACTCCAAGGCCCCATTCACCGAGATGGCAAATATCAATACAACCCATCTGCTTCACCAGTTTTTTATTTGCAAACATTGGCTACTCGTCTCGGGACCTTTTTAAATTGGGTACAGCGTCTGCAAACAACACCCATCGGGTTTAGTTGTCTGTTGGTATGCAAAGGTCGTGCTCTAACCAATATATTCTGTTCAAATTTAGCAGACAAGCCTCCGCAACCCAGTGGGGTTATTTGTGGGTCAATATCGTGATAGCCTTCTGAGAATCAAAAACGAAGTCTGGGCCTCGACCAAAGTCTGTTATCCAAAGAACAGCGAGATACTTTCATATCTAGCATGGATTATCGTCACTCATGATCCGACGCCTTTATTCTTGCTATTGCTTTCTTGACCGGCGCTCGAGACTTGTTCACGTCAGTTCAAATCAATATTGTACCGTCCATTCAGCCGCTGTAATTGCCATTAGGTTGTATTGACGGCGATCAGTTAGCTTTTAGTCTGTTGTCTTCATGTTCGCTCAAATCCTCCGTTCCAACTGCCCCATCACGTTCGGTGTGGTGACTTAGCACTACCACAACAGTTAATACTAGTTCTGTCTGCCATGTAGTCAAAGATAAGCAGCCTCTTACTGTTTCTATCACTGACCGTTGTTTCATCGATAAGGCTACAATGCGTATTGCTGAGGCCTATGTACCTTTTAATAACCTGTCTCTTGTTCAGGCAACAGAGAATGAGTTTCTCGCCGAAGTTGCAGGTTTACAATACCACGGTGCGGCCGTTGTTATCGAATTTCTTCACTTGATACTTGAAAGTAGACCCTCGAGTGCCTCATTAGAATGTCTGCTGAGCTCGAATCATCCTCGATGGTTCGGATGTACTCTGTACGTACTTGCGTGCCGCATTTTTCGGTGTGCATTGTTTGATCAACATTACGCCTAGTATCGTAAGATCCCGAGCTGGTCAATAATGGCAAAAAGACAAGGGCGGGACTTGCCTGGATGGGGTTTTCGAAATTGGCCATCTCGACGATTAGATAACCTATCGTGTATAGCATGGTCACGAACTTAGTTTCGTGCTTTCACTTGCTTCCCCCTTTTTTAATCTTTAACTATTCTGTCAGACGAATCATTATCTTTACTGTCACCACTAAAATTATCACAGTTTTGGTGACATGTATTAGGGTGACCGGGTTCTTCGCATCTACATGCGCAGATCCGATTTTGTCTTTCGAATCTCCTGTCTCCAATGTCATGGTGCCCGGACATTGTCTATCATAGTTGCCCTTTGTTAAACGCATTCGTTGGGCAGCCTGTCAGCAACGCGATAGGAAGTCGCGAGGAAACTCGTTCTTAGACCCGGTCGCACTAGTACGCATCGACGCTCTCTTCCATCTAGCTGTTAACGTTCCAACTCACGAGCTCAGTTCCTGCTGCGGCCGGGGACTCGCTACATTGACGACCGACTGACGCTTTTCCGGATGCGTGTTATGCCATCTAACAGAAGGTACTGCGATGAATCTTGAATTCACTTACACCTGCCTACATTTTTGTAGCCATTATTCTCTGTACTCTACTCCGCATACCGTCACCTTTTTCCCATCATGTCCACCCGTTGTTATCTTAGTGACACTATACCTTTTCTTGGCCACTTGACTCCATAACGCCTTCAAGAAATGCATGTTCTTTTTTATATATCTCAAAGTAGTCCTTAACGTTATCCACTTGCATCCAGTGGATGTGAGCACCTAATATTGCGTACTGTTCGTTAAGTGACCGGTTCCAAATCAGCCGATATTGTAACACATTAGTACACCGAGTGGGCTACTGTTGACTCATTGACTCAGTAGCGTTTCGGGTCGTTTGCGCCCATTCGTCGCAACTTGATAACGTTAGGGACCATTTTGAGAGATCAGTGGAGAAACATGTTTTCCTTAATGAGGGATTCGAAAGCGTTCTAGATGCAATAGGCTGAGAAACGGTATTTTCAGTAGCAGCTTTGAATCCACCACACTTCTTGTTCCGGACCATAGCTCTGTTCACATGAACTGAATCGTTCTCGTATCAATGTGGGCATTCACTGGCAGCTGGCATGTTTGCATGCTTATCCCGTTTGTTGTATATGCCTTTCACATGTTGCCCGGTTGTAGTGACTAGGTTATTATCTGAGCAGAGCACCCCATGTACACCTGGTCCAGCCCTTTCTTTTTTATTTACCCTGGTTCACGGCCTTTGGGATCGCTTCATAATCATCGTCTTTCACGGTTTATTCCAATAGCACATCGCCTACATTTACTACACCTCGGGTGTTTCGTGACCGATCTGGGTTCATGGTCTGAGTTGTAGCCGCTGTTGCGTTATCGTTATGATCAATCAGCGTTATCGGATAATTTTGTTGTTTCAATTTGTTACGTGTCAATGTAACCTGCCTTTGAGCACCCACTCCACTGATTTCAATTTCATTTTGTTTCATAAACGCCTGTCTCCTTTCTCTGTTATCTTCCCTCATTTTCCCACGACATCCCTATTTTCATCACAGCCGGTTCGATGCTCGATTTCCATCTAGAATGATCGTGTCTGTTTTTGCGTGTTTTTCTGCAGCGCAATCCATGGTACGGTGAACTATGGAATATTCGATATCTCCCGGGTGCCTCTTGGAATGACTTGTTTGACGCTGAGCGGGAGGAACAGGAACGTATACGGTCGGCGCATGACCGAAATATCATCGCCGCAAAACGCACCGCTCGACAATTTGCAGCGGCTTTATCCACTGCCAAGCTTGAAAAAAAGCTGGAAGCAGTCAAAGGAAAAAAGTTAGTAACGTATTAACTATTGGCCTTCTCCCTGAATAGCTCTTGAGCGCATGGACCAAAGCCAAGAAACTCAGTTCACTCTGTTAGAACTTTGTTCCACACAAACTAACGGATCCCCAGTGGTGAATATCCGTTGCTAGAGACCCCGTTTCACTGACGTCCGCATTGTTCACAGGCGGTAGTGATGTCACTTATATGAAAAGTGTGTCAGCTGTACGCCGTAACGGCGTATTGCTGCCGTGCGACCAACATCAGTTGGGTGCGGGCTGCGTATACCAAGAGGACGCCCACCCCTACGCGGATTCGAACCGGGAACCTTATAGTTGCAAACTAGATGCGCAGACCACTCGGCCCCCGACCGGCCACTAAGCCACCAAATAGCTAACTAAACGGTATATTCCTCAACAGTGCGAGGCACAGTCTCACTGCATGGTCTGATCAATATGTACAGCAGGATTGCGCAAGGCAGGTAATTGTTCGGATATTTGCAGTGAGTGACAAGTTCAACGCATTAGAATGATTGTGAAAATTGCGAACAAAACACCTACAGATATAGCTAGGTATTTAAGTGTATCAATACAATCATCCGTGGAACCGGCTGAAGGGGACCTACTTCCATGTAGGGTATTTCCTCGAAAGATTTCGCCAGCGCTTTCATGCCCCATCTGGCTGTGTGCCGGCGTGTCAAAAAAGCAAGTAAGCCATCACCTCTGACAGATTTTCATGACTGCCTTTTTATGCATATGATGTTATATGCGTGATGAAGTCTCCATCGTGTTCCGTTATACGGCTCTTTCGAGTGTGTCACTTTTTATCATGCGCCAGTGTGCTAGTGACTAGGCGCCTTGTATGAGTAAACTATTAGCTTGAAATCTTTACTCCGTCATTATCTTAGGAGATCAGCCTGGCCGTGACCAACAACAACATGGTGCAGAATATAATGTATCAAAAACTAAACATAATAGGTGTAAAAACAGTAATAGATAAACAAATGGCACGTTTCACCTCAGCACCAGACGAGTCATCCGATCAGATTGTGCGGCGGGACAACCGAAGGCAGTTAACTGTTCGAGTTATTCGTTGGCAAGGAAAAATCCAAAAGAAGTTTCAGAGTCGTCACTACTTGCAATCATCCGAACTATATAGACTTTAATATCTCTAAGCACAGAAATTTGATTAATGCGCCTTAGCCGTTGCTCCTCGAAAAGAAACAGAATTGGTTGACATTACTGGACGGGATGTAACGAAGAGGATCGCTCAGGGCGGCTGTGACCCATTCGTTTCTTGCCAGCTCATATGTACCGGTTACATTGCGATTATCTTTCGCTCGGTTTATGAATGCGAATGTCGGGTTGTTCTTCACTCAACCCAACACACCATCCTTCATTGTAGGTTTCTGAGTACCCACACAACCTCGACTGGAACCATGTCTTACTTTTACGGAAACATCGGTCATTCTGTCCATTGAAGAATCCCACCGATGTTTCGCTTTACTAACCTAACATCCTCTCAAAGAGGCAGATTAGACAGCAATCGAATCGGTAACGGCGGTGATGAACTCGGCCATTTCTGTACTTTTCGTCTGCTTCATTATTTCCAACTGAAGGAAATTCGTGCATGTTTCTGACTAGGGCAGCATTTATACGCCATTTATACTGAAAAATGTAACTTTCTCTCACCAAGTACTTCACTTTAGTCCTTTGAATATTCTTCTTACGGGTTATCCCTACAGGCGCTATGTCGCACATTTTATGCACTCTCCACTCGCGCACATCTAGACACGAGCTGAATTTTGTCCCATGGTGTTTCAATGATCTAAATATTTACCTTCTGCATTGCTTCCAACTCTACCATCTGGCTTCCTTCTTTGGGCCCCTTAGGACACCGTAAACTCTGACGCGGCCTGTAGTGTTCGAGTATAGAGCACGAAGGATGTTTACATATTTCGTGGGAACACCTTTCCGCTTAAGTATTTCGAACAGAATCGATTGATCGACTGAATCGAACGCACTCTTAAAATCGAGGAACACAGCTGTTGTCGGTCTGTGGTATGCGTGGCGCTGCTCTAGCAGCTGCCGCAGAGTGAATATATGGGCTATACAGCCACGTCCTAGGCGGAAACCAGCCTGCTCTTCCCTACTCCGAGATTCCCGTTCCGCAGTGAGGCGACGAACGAGAATCGAGGCCAGTACTTTTGTCACAACTGACGTTAGGCTAATACCCCTGTGGTTAGAACAGTCTGTGTGACTGCCCTTCTTGTATATTGCCACTATAATCGATTCGCTCCAATTAGCCGGCACACTCTCTTCCTTCCAGATAGATTCGAATAAGGAGGTCAGTGCTTTGCAGAGGACCTCACCTCCATCCTTAAACAGTGCAGGTTGTAGGGAATCCGGGCATGCGGCACGAAAACGGTTAAGGGCTGTGATCGCGTTTCGGACCTCGGCCTCCGACGGAGGCTCTAAACTAACCGTTCATGGCACGTCCTGCATCACCTGAGTAGGAAGAGGTCCGGGAGCAGGTGGCCAGTTGAACTGATCTTGAAAGTGTTCCGCCCAACGAGCCATACGGCGCTCCTTATTGTGTATCAGCGCACCCGCGCTGTCTGATTGTGTCACTGACGCCTGGTTTTCTGGGACCAGTGGTGCGGATAAGCTAGAAGAGCTTGCTGTAATTGCCTATTGCTCCTGTCTCCTCTATTTCTTGAGCCCGACTGGTCCACCTGGCTTCCTTGTCAGCACTTAGGCTCTGCTTTAGTTCACGCCTAATAGCCCGTCTGGTCACATTGTGTTCAGAGCCAGCCGGGAGGTGTCTTCTAGATTCCAACAGGTTCACCGACCTCTCGGTTATCCAGTGACTGGTGCGGTGACGATTGATAGTGCCACAAGCAGATACTCCTGCGTCATGCAAAGTGGCCGAGATCCTATCCCACTGAAGCTCAGTGTCATTAGGACACGGCAGCGGAAGTTCGGTATGCAGTACGTCTTGATAGGCTTGTGTGACCGAGGGCTGAGACAATTTCTCCGTTGCCAATCGGGGGAGACGCTTTGTGCGCCTTCCGGTAAAGTTCATGGAGAAACGACAGCGTACCAAGGCATGTTTAGAGTCGACACAGGTACTCCAGTACGAGCGGCAATCCAGGATGGAACCACGCCACCTGTAACTTATGGCAATGTGATCAATTTGGGTCCGTCGCTGGTCATTTATCGGAGGACGCCAAGTGGCACTTCGGCGCCCACTGTGTCTAAAAGCAGTGCTAGTAAGAAACAACTGGTGCTCCTCACACAGTTGCAGCAGACGGTCACCGTCGTGAGTCCGTTCGAAGTTAAGCCCACATTTATCACCCAGCTGAGCTTCTGAAGAGCTCAGACGCCCTACTTGTGCGTTCATATCCCCTGCAATACTATAATATCTGAACTAGTAGCACTGCGTAGTAGGGCGTTCAGTTCGTGATATAATGTGTCCTTGACAGTATTTGAACTGCAGTCGGTGAGAGCATAAGCGGAAATCACAAACAAACAGCGTTTCGTACTACTTCGTGAATCAACCTTAGGTGATGTCGTCAAACGGGCTGCACATAAACGGCTGTTCACCGAAATCCAATCGAGCAACGATGACTCAGTCTTGGAGTTTAGAATGATACCTACATCAGCTTGACCCGTGAGTGCTGCATCGGCGTCTCCGGATGCGTGCAACCAGTAACGAGAGGATAAGCCGGGTGCAGTTAATTCAATAACCCCGTTAGGGTCATTGATCCTAGTTTCGGACACGCAAAACACATCAATACCCGGTGTGTCCAAGGTGCGTGCGAGTGCAGTCTGTTGACCTGTTTGTCTTAGAGTGCGAACATTGAATGTCGCCATGGAAACGGGATAGCGTGGACTTCTAAGGGACTTTTGACGATAGGCGTCCGATAGGTGCTGTGGGATGGTGGCTGCAGATGGTTCTACTCCAGTGGCATTTCGGTTGTATTCAATTAAGCTGGGTACTATAGAAGGAAGGTTAGTAATGGGGGTCGGGATGGGAGTAAGAGAAACAGGTGGAAAAGGAAGAAGGGAGGCGCCAGCAGTAGCATGTTTTCGCCAATCCGCCCTGCTGTATGCAGCAGATAAGGCGACCCTTGATAATCTGCGCGACGGCCGATGCAGGATGAAGTTTATGTTTGAAGATGTCATGGTTGTATGTGGGCTGAGATACTGCCAGGGCGCCCAGACCTAGACAGTTATCTTCAAAAGAAAGGCATTCCGCAATCCGCATCCTGGAAACGTGCCCGATATCGTACAGCTCCGCCACGGACAACTTTCACTGTTTATGAGATAAACATGGGATGGGTGTCGCGTGAACTCCAGTCACGCCCTGACCCACGTGCCACCCATTCTGCGCTTGGCTCCCAACCAGCGCGTGACACATTCGAACTACTCGTTCAACATACGCATTAACCCGAATACCATGTGGTAAAGCTGATAATGTGGGACAATAACATTTACAAAGTAGCTCTCTTGCTGATGCTGCCTTACATTCACGGGATAGCCGGTCTTTTGCGACCGTTGGCACATTGACCTTGTATGTTCGCTTTGTAACTTTAACTTTTGCAACTGGTTCCCACACTCTTTAACTATTATTCTCCACTAGTCGGGCGCTTAGAATTTGTGTTAGCGAATTATGAGTGCGAATTGCTGATGTACTGCTGTTGTTGATGTACCTACGGTTGTCCCGGAGCCTTTAGTTATGTTTACATGATTTTAACCGTGTATTGATGAATTCATCTTGTTCCCCTTGGTTACTGCTTCGACTCTTCTAAGGCCACTCATGTTCCTTTCAGGGATATCAGCAATTGATCGCGAGAACCGTGGCCGTTTATTAGTACTGCCCTTATCGTTATTAATTTTAATCACAATACTGGTAACGATCGTATTCATCTATTTCCCACCCTGCATTGCTGGATCCATTGTGCCCTGAGTGTGAGCTCGCTTGGCTTTACTGTACGCCTCTTCTCTTTCTGCGATAGCTCAAGCTTATTGCTATTCACAAACATGCGTCGTTCCGTTGTGCGTCATCATTTAGATTCGTGCACACTTTTTACTTCCAGGTTCAAAAAACGTCAGCCCACTGATCTTTCAGCGCGACAGAAGCCGACCGAAACCGAAATCCTTGAGCGTCTTGCTCGATCTCATCGAACTCCTCCAGATCATTGCTCCGGTCTGAGCGCGCTTACCAACAAAGACTTCATGAGCAGTTTGTTTTCCGGTGGCCTGTGACGATTTGACCATCATGTACACTTATTTCGAACTCTGTAAATATGCACAGTCCAAAATCAACTAACATCTTTACACGTTTTGGTCATTCCTTTTTCATGAATCATCAAAGCCTACAGAGAGACCATGTATGGCTTACGCTGCGCCACCTACATTTCCATTCACACACCCTGTATCCGGTGTAAACCCGAAAAAATAAGATGGAGAGGCATGTGGATGGGAGCTACGTTCCATCATCGGAGCCGGCTGCCATTCGTCCAATGGGAGAAGCAGCATACCAGTCGTACGCATGATGGTGGGTAGTGTGTGGCTTGTTCCACACTAGATTGAACCACACTTTGAACCTAACACTGTCACGAAGATCTTGCACCGTCTTACTCCAGCAACAATTAACCGTTACTTGAAGATCACCGCTTCAAGTCCGCGTAGATGCAGATGACCTCGTGATATATACAGTCATCGCAAGACCAGTAGCTGTCGCTTGGCAGCGATCTGTCGGTACTCTGTGTCGGCATGTTGTTAATGTTCATGCTTCTTGGATTCAGCGGTTGTAATGGTGGTAGCAGTATTCGACAGATATGCACCCGATCTGAAATATCGATCTGCAGACGCCAACATACAACAACACAACTTCATTTGCACAGACCAACTACAGCGACGATGCAGTGCACGTGCGCCACGTTTGCTGCATTATCGATCTGATTTAGTAGGTGAAATCGCAAGCAGCGTAGTTACGCTGTTCTAACACTTATCTGTTCAGCTTATCCGTCGCCTCTTCTATATTTACCCCTCATGGCCATGTTGATGAGTTGCAAGACCGTCTCGGCTGAGGCACACACAGTCGCATGCACTACAGCACCAAATGCATGACGTAGATGGACTCGGTTCCGTCGGCACCTGAAACTCCCATAACCAGCGTTTTTCTTCTTGCTGCAATTGTTCTTTCTAGTACGTCCTCTCAACTGCATTCTTGATGTGACTACGCCATTGGCAGCGATCCACTGACTGCTTTTCAATACCTGAAGTTAACTTCACTTCAAGATAAACTCACATTAATCATGTTCTGATAGTGTAGCTTCGGCTTACGCACATTTCTCTTCCCTGCACTCAGCTGACCCTAGAGTATGCGCTTCAGTATCCTGTTCGTATCGATACGGCGGATATGTCCTAATCATCTCAGATGTCACAGTAGCAGCATGCATTCCATTCCGTAGACGCAACTCCGGCGAATCACTTCTATGTAAGCAACTGTCACATCAATGGATGTTCCGAGTGCGACACAGACAATACGGATGGGATCGTTCCATATATGTGGTACCATCCTTGTACGGCGTCCGTGTTAGGCTGCCATAGAGGAGGATTGATAGCGCCACTGATGTGCATACCGTTAACTTGTTCCCCTTGGTCAATAGATGATTCTTCCAGCTTGCCGAAAGCCGCACATTTTTTCGATACGCGGTTGCCCAGCTTGTTAGCCATCTGCAGGTCCATTGACAATACGACATTTTGATGAGGACTCTAAGGCGTCATTAGCAATCTGGACTTACAGGCGGTCCACAGATTCCATTCCTGGTGACGGCGAAAAAGGACAGTCTTGCTTGTGTTGATTGTGATTCCGAACACGACCAGCATCAAAGCGAAAGCCGTCGTCATAGGTTGCAACCCATCCGCGCTGTGTGCAAACCACAGATTGTTATTTCACATACTCGGATGTTTAGCAATACGGTACTCGAGACGGACACCGTAGCTCTGCATAGAATGCTTAATACACTAAAGCAGTTAAACACTTATCAAACAGAATGGGGGTTACGACAAAGCCTCGCTCCACACCAGAAGTCTGTTCACACCGCTGTGAAGGTATTTTACTTAGACTATTATATATACCAGAATGTCCAGACTTACACAACACCACCCAGAGCTACTCGCGATCCACCGTGTCAAACGTCTTGGCGAAGTCGACGAACAGCGGGTACACTAGCTGATTTCGTTCAGAGCACTTCTCTTTCAGTTGCCGAGCCGCCAACACCCCATCTATCTTACTGCGGCTCGAACGGAATCCGCTTTGTTCGTCAGACACGTCTGGTTCAAGAACGTGAGTGATGAAGTGGTCTAGCTGGATACTGATGTCACGATGATTGTTGGCACATTGCTTACCCTCTTTTGTCCTTGTACAATAGTCACAAAAGGACATAGTTTAACTCAGCTGAAACCTCTTAGATAAACGGTATATTCCTCTCTACTGCGTGGGACAGTCTAACTGAATGTTCCGACTACTAAGTACAGCGTGATTGCGTAAGGCAGGTAATTGTTTATGATTATGGAGTGAATAACAAGATGAATTGGAATGTTATAACTATTGTGAAAATTGAGAACAATAACAAATGTTGATATAGCCAGGTGTTTTAGTGAAACAATACAGTCATCCGTGGAACCGTCTGAAGGGGATCTACTTCCATGCAGGGTATTTTCTCGAAAGGTTTGACCCACACTTTCATGCCCCATCTGGCTATGTGCCGGCGTGGCAAAATAGCCAGTGAGCCATCACCTGTTTAACAAATTTTTAGGAATGTTTTTATGAGGTTATGTGTGGCTGAGCCTTTAGCTCTTTCCGTCATACGACTCTTTCAAGCATGGCACTTTTTCGTATAGACCAGTAAGACAGTGGTAATGCGCCTTACGTGGGTATACTTTTTAGGTTTAAAGCCTCCAGCCGTCAACTCAGAAAATCAGCCCAATGGTTGTCAACAGCGAAATAATTATAAAGAATTGAAAATAATGAAAGTAAGAACTGTCACCTTAATGAATAAATAAATGGCATGTCTCACACTCAGTGGAAGTGGGATCAGCGGATCTTCCGATCGAACTGTACTGTGGGACAGCCGAGAACAGATGCTACTCGACTTATCCATAAGTAAGAAGTTACTAAACAGAATCTTTGATCATCTTTAGCTGCAGACATTCGAACAGTAAAGAATTTGACATCAACAAGCACTGCAATTTGATACATGTGCCTGAGCTGTTGCCTCCGGTAATGAAAAGTTGGTTAGCATCATAGAACGAATGTAACCAAGAGAATCGCGGAACAATTATTGCCCATTGGTCATTACAAGAAAGGGGTTAAACCGATATTTCCTGTCCCCCTACCAATAAATCATTGTTACTGGTGATCTCATACTAGAAGGCAGTCAGTAGGGGAAGTGAATTTGAATAAGCGTGCATAAGAAGATGTTGCATTGAAGAATAGAGTGCTGTTGCAACAACTCAACCTAACAAATCTGGATTGTGCTGTTTCGTCTATTGTAAAATGTTTCCAATCGATGTTCTCCAGTACGGTATATACGATCCGCTCCTTCTGCATACCGTTTCTCGTCATCAGTTTGAAACCTGTTTCACTTCATAAATTGACAAACAAATCGTAATCATTTTTTGAATAGGCAAAGATAATCATTACGTCTTATCTCTTACGCGGTTTGTTCCATATGGTGCCGTACCGAATAAGGTAGAAATTTTGCCTTAACCTAGTTCTGGATCTAAGCAAGGAGGCTATACATTCGCTATCTCACATCTCATCAATAGTATTTTCTCGGAATCGCAGTGTGCAAGTTCCAACAAACGCTTTCCGCCACACGAGCTTTTGAAGGAAGCACAGATTTAGATGCTATCTGTGTGACCTCAGCGTATCAAGATTCAACTCGTTACACCTGTAAGTGAAAATGCGGTTGCATAGCCGAATATGTGCTTCGTGGAAGCGCGTTGAAAGTTTTCAATTGTCCTCAAACCACATACCCTTTGCCTAGTGGTACATCGCATCATATGGCATCCTGGGTGCGCCGTTCTTCAGCATTACTCTCGGTATCGCATCATCACCGGCACACTTGCCGTTTCGCAGCTGTGCGCAACTATTGTCTGCACCTCTTGAAGTGTCTGGGTATCGGCAAGACTGTTGTGCACATCTTGTTGTTGCGGCCGGTGCAACCTACCCCACTCAATCTCTGAACGGCTGTTCAAGAAACAGTCGAAATGAATGCACTACATCTACAGCCTGTGTGTAAGCAGCTGTCGAAGCAGTGTTCACTAGCGTCCTTAGTAGCTGTACGGCCGGTCTATACCCTGACAACAAGGAGTCGTAGAATTTCTTATGCTAACGGTGTTCTGCTCCATCCAACTACCATGCATTCTCGATGCGACGAACCCCTCGAGATAATCACTGACGGATCTTACCAAACTTCCTCCTCTTCAAGTTGCTAGGATTCTCCACATGTGCTGTAAATGCTGGCCTTTTCTCCGACACCGACGCGCCAATCTTCGCACCGTTATCATCAAACCAATGGGACCGCCTACAGTTTGTGAACGCGATCATCTCCTCAACTGCAACAGTCGCCTTTTCCATGAAGGGATGCCATAGGTCGCTGACTGAAGCAATGGAGTTGCGATCGCCATCGCATTCCTCGGTTCGATATTCCCAAGAGTAACTGAGGAATTAAAGTTTACTTTCCGCCGATTTACTGTAGGTAACAATACATGGATTTACGAAAATATATGTGCCATTTGGTCCGCACCAACATGTGATTAGTTCCACACAGGTCTTCGCAGTACACGTGTCATGCGCACTTCACGCATGCCACGCTGGCGTACGATGACAGGTGAGCATAACCACTCCATGGGTGCTTCCAAGTAGCTATGTTACTTGCACCCAGTGCGAACCGTTTTTGTGATCCTCACTCCGTGAGTGGCACGAAGTGAGAGCAGACGGCCACCGTCCTCATTGATTGAACCAATCTCATACGTCCCGGTTACGTCTGTTCACACCACTGCACCCCGCCCGACACGCGCATTTAACTCACTCAGTAAGAATAGCCGAGGCTGCTCGGCACGGAACGTATCACGAAGGACGATTGGGAGCAAATTGAATCGTGTCATCAAGATGGCACGTGGGGGACCATACGTACTTATAGGGATCACAAATTTACCACACGCGAGGCGTAGGTGCAGCGTCATCAACTTTGGGATGGTGCGTGTCAGCTTTTCCACCAAGTCTGCATTTATTCGGTCGGATATAGCAAATCCGGTATCGTT